AGTCAGTCTCCCCACCATCACAGATATCTACAACTCCAGATGCAGGAAGAGGGCCACCTGCATCATGAAGGACCCCACTCACCCAGCACACACATTTTTTGTCCCGCTCCCCTCAGGAAGGAGGTTGAGGAGCATTAAGTGTAGAACCACTAGACTGAGGAACAGCTTCTACCCTGAGGCTGTTAGACTCATGAATCTCTAACCAGAATAATCACTGTTAAAAATCACACCATGTTGCTGCTGATCTGTTTCATGTTGCTGCTGATCTGTTTCAATGTTGATGCGTTCATGCGTGCACATCTGCTCACACGGACTCATGTTCATGTTTGTGCTGTTCAATGTTTTATGTTATGAGTGCTTAGTGTATATTTAGTTGATGTTTTTCTTAGTTCATATCTTAGATGTTATTACTGTTTTTCTTATACATTTTATTGTTGGATGTAACTGGGACCCCGTGTACATAATTTCGCTCCACCACATGTACCACATGAGGTGCGAATGACAATAAAGAATCTCTGACTCTGATAAATGAAATTGATATTTTAACTTGTGTTATTTCTCAAATATGTGGATCCCACACCAGAACGTAACCTTCCTGCAATGTTGTCACTGTAAAACACTTTGGTCAAACCTGAGGGACGAATCTACAGATTTTTATGTAGAACAAATAAATTAATACAGCATAAAACTGCTATACTTTTGGAAAATGTCATCTCAACATCTCACAGAAAGTCAGTTTGGTGGTACTTGTGCCATTTGTTCCTATTCAAGTTTTCACTCTAGGAAAGCCAAAAGTCCAACTTCTGCCAACTTTTGCACCTCTGCCTTCACAAACTGCAAACCATGCTGAGCTTTGAACAACAAACCTGATCTAAAAAGGTCTGAGAATAAATTGTGCATTTTGGCACCAAAAGCATGGCAACAGCTTATCTCTTCGAGGATTGCATATCATGAGTTTTTAACTAAGATCATCTTATCTTATACCTGCAAATTCAGAGGGGGGGGGGGGGCATTCTGTGTTTACCTTACACAGCATATTTTATCCTTGGCAGATAATGAGTCTTACCTCAAAACTAACATTAGAAGTGACTAGTTATAACTTAGACCAGTTTCTTTCGTCCATGGGAAAGATTTTCCTATCGTCTAGCTTGATTGTGATTGGCCAAATGACTCGCGTTCCACCTAAGATGTTCTATTCTAGACAGAAACTTACCACCCCCCCACCCGAAAAAAATAACTGTTTAGATCTAGATGATTCACATAAATGACATTTTGTTTGAAATTGATGAATTTCCCCAAAAAGCGACAAGCTTGCAGGTATGTATTATGAACACAAGTACCATACATGGCACACTGTACATCTGTCGGAAAACTTTTCTACAGCAATGGCCCAGACAAGCAACAACTTTGTATAAGCTTTGACCTCGATTTGTGACCTTGACTTTAGCGCTGGGGTGGTGAAACGATTACGCAACACTGTCTAGCATTGGTACAAACGTGTATCAACTTACGTCAAACGATCTTAAGATGGTCAGAAGTTCTAGCGTGGACATGCAAAGACCTTGTTGTAACTTTGACCTTGATTTGTGACCTTAACCTCGGAGCTGGGATGTTGAAAAGTATACGCAACACTCCGTCTAGTCACGATGCATTCGTGTACATAGTTTGTTACGGTCGGAAAAGAAAGTTTACAAACGTACGGATGGAGATTATACCAAAATGCATCTACCTTTTGATTGGCGTATAAAAATGAGTTACAGCTGCTTTGGTCAAACTTTGTAAATAATATGTTTCACATAATTTAATGCTATACTAAAAGTTTTCATGAGATTTGTTAGCGCTTGGAGCATAAGCTGAGGATGAATTCCTGTTACTACCACTGTACAATGTTAGGACCATTTCTGTATTGGCTAAGGTAATTCAGCTGTGGCGGTCATCTTGAATAGGGATTAATCTAAATGGTAATAACTTCTAGACGCACACCTACTTCCTGACAGTTTCCTTAATATCTGTCCAATGGTTCAGGATATATTTTGCTAACAGTCTTGACTTGCCAAAGTTATAAGGAAAGATGTTGCACTACGTGTACACCTTGAAGTAAATGTTGGAAACGAATAGCTAAAACTACACCAAATTTTAGCTCAATATTTGTAAAATTAATGCCTACAAAAAAGCACCAAGATGCTTTAAAATGTACATAAAAACTAATTTCTGCAAATCAAAGATGGATCACCGCTGAGTGAAAATACACAACAGTGCATCCAAGACGTTTCACTGACGTGATGTGCTGAATTAAGCAAAAAAAAAAAAAAAAAAAGTAATTATTCTGTTTGCCCAACCATTCAAGCCATAATCAGCATTCTAGCGAAGAAGTACCAGCAGAGGACAAATGGTTATGTTCTACATATGCATGCCGAGGATTAGTATGGCAGATATGCATTGTGTGTGTTTTGCACTGTTCCACACCCCCACCCGAGCGAAAGTGCAGACAAAGCATTAATCAAAGACGAGTGTTTTGAATTTAATAATCTACAGATATTCGCAGTGCACACGCAGCACTGTGAAAAGGGTTCCCAGTGTTTGTACGTGCCAGCAGAACAGGAAAAGCCATTGAGACGGCAGAATCATGCTCCCTAAGGATGTCAGTCAAGTCACTTAATTCCTTTTAATAGGCTGACACATATTTGAAGGTACAAATGAAAAATACTATTTTCTCTCGAGGACTGCTATGATTTCCCACCACAAGTTATTTTCTCTCTACATTTTAAATGGAATTAACGTTTAAAAAAAGGTTTGGCCCCAAAAAGTAGCACCCAACAAAAACTAGAATGTTCTGCAGTATTTTACTCGTACTCTACACATGTCAAAAGAAAACTATAGTATACTGAAATTTATAATACAATGTGCGGTTTCATGTGACCAAACAAATCACAGGATTCCTCATAAACAAAGAAACCCTTTGAAAATATACCTGCAGCTGTTACACTGGGATACTTACCTTGCTGCCTCTTTCTGCTCCATAAAAATGAAAGCGAGGCAATTTAAACTTGGCTTTCATGGCCCTGAATCTCCTTTTTATACAGCATCTCTCTAACTTGCAACCAGCGTAGCTTCTAATAAAGCCGTGCAATCTAAAGAAAAGGAACAAAGGATGGGGGTCTGGCTCAAATGGGGTGTTTATTTATCAGTGGACACGTTTCAAATCCTTGCTCCAGGCAATGGCTCAGGAAGCATCGGAAGAGATAGCCCATGGGGGCTTCTGCTGGGAAAGCAAAAAATCCTTTGATGAGCCTTGGGCCATTCTTGCACCTGTGCCTAATATGCATGGGGAAAAACCCAGACGTAAGCAGTCACTGGATAGAGGCGGGAAAAAAAATTGCAAAAGACTGTGGATGCCATTGTGAATGTCGCTTTTATCTGCATCTACCTTGCTTTAAAACTATTATTTTGGCATCTTGAGGGGAAACAACCGCGGTAATGTGCAGGAACCACTTCAACCTTCAATAATGAACATGGTTACACCTTCAGGAATGGGCATCTAATGATTTAGGAGTTGCAACGTGGTTATTGATGCATCTTGAAACTTAAATGAATATGGGTTCCTTCACATAAGATACACTGTATTTATTTTCATGCCTAATGAAAGTCAAGATTACCGGTAATTTAGTTTAAGGTCTGTTCAGTTATTTCATATTTAAAAAGTGACTTATGTTGATGAGTGATACAGTATGAATACCGGAGGGAAGTTGAGTGTCCAAGTGAAAGGACCTTTTTGGTTTTTGAGGCCGGAAGAGAAGAAGAATAAAGCGATGAACATGTTCTCAGATCAAGTTGTTCCCTTGCCGTTTTGTTCCCCAAGACCTGCATTCAATACTCCAATAGGTATCTTGGTATTACACTAACAACACTATCCAGTAATGGTCAATCAGGTCATCTGGACAGTTGCTTTTTTGTGGAAAGACGTTCCACCCTCGATCCAGAGGGCTTCATCAGTCTGGAGTCCCAAGTAAACTGTTTTCCCCACTAAGCAGTACACTCCCTTAGTGGACCAACCAGTTTGCTGGTGATAAGATGGTTTCTGGGGGCTGGGCTGTCCTATCCCCCATTGACTCCTCCCAGGTAGGCAACCACAGCCAAAGTGGTTCAATACATCAAAGTTCATGCTCAGTCATCCAGGTACAAAATCCAATAATGGTCAATCAGCCCCCAGAAACCATCTTATCACCAGCAAACTGGTTGGTCCACTAAGGGAGTGTACTGCTTAGTGGGGAAAACAGTTTACTTGGGACTCCAGACTGATGAAGCCCTCTGGATCGAGGGTGGAACGTCTTTCCACAAAAAAGCAACTGTCCAGATGACCTGATTGACCATTAATGGATTTTGTACCTGGATGATTGAGCATAAACTTTGATGTAACAACAACATCAATTAGCATACAAGCTAATTTTGCATGTAAAATGCCTCAGAAAAGTTAATGAGATTATCATTGTTTTTATCACTGACAATTTATAAACAAATTAAATGTTTTAAAGTGCAAAAATTACTAAATGCAGTCGTGTTAGTACAGTTAGTCATGTTGGAGACATATAGTTAGCAATGAAAAGATGAAAAATGCGTGAAAACGCAGCTTTACTTCAACATGCTTCAACTACCGGACGCTACGGTAACTTTAATACCACTACCGGCTCCTGACAGCATCTACTCCTCTCACTCTTTAGCCTAATATTTGGTGGTACATGGGATATATTTAAAGCTGAAATCAGTTAAATAATGATAATAAAGAATGGTAAAAACCTCAAAATTAACATGTTAAAAATAAATTAAAAAACAGGCAGGGATATTTTTTCCCCAATCACTATTTGAGGTCTCCACAAGCAGCAGCAACTACTAAAGTATGTTTGTTGAATACAAAGTGTACAAAGTGTGCGTTTCTTACAAAAGAGTAGATTTGTATTTTCATTCAACAGAAGTGGGAAAAGGGAGAAAAAAAAAAAACTTACCTGAACCTCTTTTAGACACAACTTTCTGGCAATGGACCACAAAAGCGTGTAGCAAGATCAGGAGAGGGATGGGGGCTTGCATTTTTACCCAGTCCTAAAAGGAAACAAAAGATTTGAGTCATCATTCACTAAATCCATTTGAACCTCAAAAGGATACATAATTAAGAGCTAATAATCCAATTGAACATCCAGAATACCTTCAAACCTTCAGATCTTTGTGTGCAGGAATGTACTGTCCTCCATAAACAGAACTAAACCGTAAATGGCATGTGTTGAGATGAATCCCTTTGCTGCTTTGTAAACTACCTACAACACTAACTACCGTATTTTCCAGCCTATAAGTCACACTTTTTTTCATAATTTGCATACCCTGCGACTTATACGCCGAAGCGACTTATTTATTTCCCCCCCATATTCATAAACCAATTTTTGACTGAGATATGACCGTTTCCATTCATTCTGACAATGAAATATTGAACACTACCATTTTCAGCTGCTAGATGGCACTCGAGTAGTATGGCATGCCGTTGTGTCATGTAATAGGTAAAAGTGGATATTAATGACACAATCGGCTTGCCATAGCCAGCTACCTTCATCCAGCTCGCTTGGAGCAACCCGGCAAAATGCAGCTGATTTGACCATTGAAGTGCATTTATTAAATAAAAGTTCAACTGAGACACACCTTTGCTATAATATCGAGCAAACAAATAATTGCTTTAGGTGGTTATCTTGTTAAATTTTGAAGAAATGCACAGTGAGTCGTCCCTCTGAGCACTCCCGCAAATCAGCTTTTGAAATGCGACTGATTTGACCGTTAAAGTGCATTTATTAAGGAAAAGTTAGACAGAGACAAACCTTCGTTATAATTTCAAGCAAACAAGTAATTGTTTTTAAGTGTTAATCTTGTTAAATTCTTGTTAAAGTCCTCCCATGCACGCTCCCGTGGCCGACATTTGGCAGCCAATTGATTTTTGGCACAACACCGGCCCACATTTCTGGGTTGTCAGCGGTGACGTGTAACGCGATGCATCAGTGGAAACACATAACAGTTGCGACTTATACGACGAAGCGACGTATTTATGGATTTTTCCAAATGATTAGACATTTTTGGACATATGAGACTCATACTCCAGTACGACTTATAGGCTGGAAAATACGGTAGCCTTTTCCAACATAGTTTAGTATAGTCTTAGTTTAGTATAGTATTAGTGTATTTGGTGTCTTCTTAGTTTCGTGTATTCTTAGTTTAGTGCTTAGTATAGTCTTAGTTTAGTGTATTTAGTGTCTTCTTGGTTTAGTGTATTCTTAGTTTAGCGTATTCTTAGTTTAGTGTATTTAGTGTGTTATTAGTTTAGTGTATTCTTAGTTTAGTGCTTAGTATAGTCTTAGCTTCTTGGGCTCTGGTCCCCCCTTTTTCGTCTGCCTCTGGTCTTGGGGGTCGGGTCTCTGCTGCTTCACAATTACTAATAAATGTTCTATTAGAGAAGCCTTATACACTTATGCATGCTCACAATCACACACAAATAGAAGCAGGGATGTTTATGTAGGCTTTATATGTAGATATATAGATATGTATATGAATGTATATTCATGTGTATGTATGTATGTATGTATGTATATAGGCGTAGGTATGGGTATATATATTTATTGAAATTTACTGCAAAGCCATGAATATTTTAAGTTCTTTATACATATGTATTTTGTTGCTGTGTTTTGTCATGTTCTTTGCAGGTGAACAGACAGTGGCCGGGTGTTTTGAAGTGTGCTCTATTTGTATATATTTCTTATATTTTGGAGTCTTACTTTGTCTTTTCTTTCTTTCTGTCCTATTAAAAAAAAAAAAAAAAAAAAAAAAAAAAAAAAAAAAAAAAAAAAAAAACCTACACTAGAATGTCACTATAATAAATATTTTATAATAATGGTGTGGAGAGGATGGCTGTAAGGGGAGAAGGGAGGCCATCGAAAGAAGAAAAAAAAAAAAAGTATAGTCTTAGCTTAGTGTAGTCTTAGTGTAATGTATTCAGTGTATTTAGTGTCTTCTTAGTTTAGTGTAGTCTTAGTTTAGTATGGTCTTAGTTTAGTCTATTTAGTGTCTTCTTAGTTTAGTGTAGTCTTAGTTTAGTATAGTCTTAGTTTAGTGTATTTAGTGTCTTCTTAGTTTAGTGTAGTCTTAGTTTAGTGTAGTCTTAGTTTAGTGTATTTAGTGTCTTTTTAGTTTAGTATAGTCTTAGTTTAGTGTATTTCTTAGTTCATGTCTCGAATCTTATTACTGTTTTTCTTTACAATTTGTATTTTTTTTGGATGTAACTGAGACCTTGTGTACATAGTTTTGTTCCACCTCATGTACCACATGTGATGTGAATGACAAAGAACCTTGAATCCTTGAGAACAAAATTACTGAAGTTTTTCCTGATTTTTACCAGTGTTAATCCTGAAATTCCAGGAGATATTTCAGTCGCACTAAACGTTTAGAACTGGCAGTCTCACAATTAGAGATGACAGTAAGTATACTTTACCGTAAAGTATGTGCATACAGCAATCATTTTTAATAGTTAATTATATTGTACATCAGAGCCAATCAGTAAGGATACATGTTCTGTGTACATTGTAGAAACAGGACATGGGCTCAATAATACTAGAGTACAAACATTAATACATGTACACATCAAAGTCTCAGAAATACTCTGAATCAGCACATCAGTGTTCAATTCCCGCCGGTTTTCCGTGGTTTTTTTATGTATTTCTTGAGTTTTCCCTATCTGGAAAATGTGACAGTCATTTTCCAGGTTTTTCCTTATTTCCAGAGTCACTGGGAACCCTGCAAAATCAGACAAGAGCTAAAGTCTTTTTATTTATTTATTTTAAGACAAGAGTTTCAGTGGCAACCCCTGAAGACGGAAAAGCCGAAATAGAAAAAGAAGGCGTCAGTTCACAACCAAACCAAATTTTATCAGGGAGAAATGTGACAAAAGTTATCGAAATAATAGTTTAGCTATTGTGGTGTGTTTATTTATGTTTCATGATAAGCCCAAAGCATCTAATGAGCTTGCGGTAGTCCATTTTTGGAAACGTTGCAGGTATTTTTAGCCGGGAGCTGCTCTGAGGATGGATGCGAGCGATGAAAAAACAGCATTGTTCAGAGTAGGAGCTGGAACAGCTGCTATCCAAGCATTCAGTTGAGCTTTTGTTCAGCGCAAAACCAAACAGGAAAAGCTTTTTGCAATTTAGATCAAAACATTCGTAAGACTTTCAAAGCAGCAATAGGGGAACGCAGTTGCTTGTGAAATTGCTTTAGGTTGCTGTCATTCTTTTATTCCTCGTCTCACCGCCGGAACAAGCTGCCTTTTAAACACATCGGGTTGCTTCTGTATGCTACGAGGGCACTTCCCCACTGGCATTTCAGTCGTCACAAAGATGCTTCACATAGATTTTACAATACTGCATCAGAAAGTCTTTGAGAAGAACCCCCCACCCCAAAAGCCGCAGTAACCCTCAGGACACTCTGGAGGCATGTGAAACTGGCCGGCGGCCAACGCTGCCATTTTCTCCTCGTCAAAGCCTTTTTGTCATCAGCGCTCGCTTCCTGAAACTAATGCCTCCTCTGAAAAGCTACTCGGCACTACACAGAAATCTTATCTTTTTAATTACTTTTCCATGTTTGAGTGCAACATGGGCACAAAATCTGCCGATGCCTCAGCTGGCTCAAACTAAAATGAAACAAAAGTTCTGCTTGGAGATTTTCCACAACATCAAACTCCATTCCAATTGATTCTGTTCACAGTTATTATGAAGATAAAACTCAAAGTCATCCTCATCGCTAACCAAACTACGTGGGAAGATGTGCTTAAAGTGAAAACGGGACTAGATGCACTCACAAAAGCACAATATGCTAAATAAAACAGGAACTAGCGCCCCCGGGCTTGGTGTTCAGTTATGATATGGAGTTTCAGCGGTGTCGAGAAGTTTCACAGCCTGAGGGAAGAAAGGGCCCGCAGTCGGTGCAAACACCTGCAACTCCTAAACAAGCAGCAGAGTGAACAAACACAGACCAGACAATGTCCTCTACTGCTCCATGTGCTCGGTGCACGCAACCCAGATCTAGACACAACTGCGAGAGAGAAACCAAACATCGCCGAATGTGTGCCTCAGGCATTTATTTAGGATGAATTGTTGCTAGTCAAAACAGATTAATTTGAGTCTTGTAGAACTGAATTACAAGTGGAAGGAATTGGTTATGCCAACTTCAAAAGTCAGCAGGATTTCCTAAATCCAACCGGTGACAGAAGGTGGACGTTGTAGCTTGTAGCAACATCTAGGCGTATGCCATTAGTTTTGGGGCAGAGTAGTGAGGATACAGTTTGAGGGTCGTAATGCAACCTGGACCAGAAAATGGTAACTTGGTCACTTTAGTCCTCACAGCACTTCTTTACAAACGTCACTTGGTTTGACCTAGTTGTTCAGAACTATAACAACTTTTGTTTTTCCTTCTTCTTTTGTCTGCTCCCTTCCTCAAGGGTCACCAGAATGAACTAAGTTGCACCTCACTTAGTAGGAATGCGCGATATAAACGGTACATGGTAGAAACGATAGACATTTAGCCTACGATAGAGATCTGTATTCTACCGGCAAACCGCAGTAATGCTGTATCTGATGTAAAATCTGAGTTGTCAGATTTAAACGTTACTTTTTTTTTTAGTTGAAAACAGTGCATAAGTGGTGTTAAAGTCTTTTCTTCAAGAGCTAAGTAGTGAAGCTAACTATGGCCGGGTTGCCATAGTGCTGCCGTATTCGGACGCATGCGCAACACGCTGTGTTCCGTCAAGTTTTTTTGTTTTTTTCCCCCATCAAAAGTTAAAGTAAGCGTTGGTCATCTTTAGAGAAACCTGCTCTCTGATCTGTGAAAGGAACGCTGTGTTGTGTGATTTTACTGCGAGATCCTCTGGACAGAGCCACAGAGGAAACTGGTCGCCATTTTGTGTCAGCTCTCCTTAAAGCGGAAGGAGACGCCCACTAGAGGGTTGGAGGGTGAAGTGTTTTCAGTGTAAAATGCTGCTCTGTTGCTGTTCATTTCTCAAGTGAGAA